TGGTTATTAACATAACACCTGACCCCCTCTGCACTTTTTGTTTCGCATTTTAAGGTAAGAAATCAACATTTGAAACCGACAGGGTGTCATTTACTAGGTGCCGTGTTTCACAACTTGTTTATTTATATACGTATAGCGGATGATTTTTTTTGAAAATTAGTATTTATTGATTTTCAGCCCCCAAGTGACTGTGAATTTGTGTAACATTTTTACCGGGCATTCTTAGCATTGAGATCAAGTTACAAGATCGAAAGTTACTTTAGTTACTTTTTCACTTTAATTCAGAAATTTCGATGAAAATAAATAGTCATAGTGCATGATGAGCACGGGAGATTACTTCATAATAATATACAGCTTTTTGATTGACATAGAGTTTTTTTCTGAGAAATTTCCCGTTAAAATTTATTCACAGGATGACTTGTGTTCTTGGCAGTGAACTTAGTAAACTTTTGAATGATGACTATTTTTCCCACTGTTAACAATGTGAGCTTAATCATGAATATGTTTAATTAATACTGAGTTATTCAAATAAAGGTTCTGGTGTCTACATTGCATATTTTGTTGTGATGTTTTGTTGTACCATCATAAATGGTACATTTTGTGTAGCAGACTGCCTAATTTGATGTCATGAAATTACACACAAAATTAGAGCTCAAGTTGCACCAGCAAGCACCATTTTCAGCATGCTGTTCTTGTTTTCGGCGGACGACAGAGGGGACACCTCCCTCTCCTTCTCTCTTTCCCGTTGTGCCCGGTCGCGGGAAAATGCTCTGCAGTTTCCAGACAAAGTTTACTAATACTTTTTTTTCTTGATTAGTAAATTTACTATTACCTAGCAAATTCCAGAGAGAGCCCAGCAAGCATTACATTTTTTGGTATTTGACATGCATTGTATACGTCACATGAGACTCATATCAAATAAAGTCAACTCGGCCTACCCTGATAACCCTATTAATCATTTTAGTTGGAGAATGTAACCCAAAATGCCAAAGGAAAGATTTTACAATATTTTTTGTTGATTCTATTTCTAGCATGTGCAATATTCATGTTTAATGTGAACAAATGAATGTATTCAAATGTCACTCAAATAAACAAGACCACGTTCAATATTGATTATGCAGTTGACCACAAATATGGGGAATGAGTTCCGATACATTTTGTTCCAAATCACATTTGTTTCAAGTCTTTTCAAACCACCGATGTATTCATCCTATGTTGATTCATCCCTTAAGTTTATTCATCCCGAAGTTGATTCATCCCACAACTTTATTCATAAAACATGTGTTTTGAGCGAATGCCTTTTCAAGTACACTAAATTTCATTGCAACATATGTGAGATATTAGTATTAAATATCCCACAATCTTGATACACAAACTATTTTTTTTTTAGTGGTCTAGGATATGTCGTTGGTAGTGAAGTGGCCCATGCTGCAGGTTCATGGCAGTGGGGACTTAGAATCACTCCTGTACTAGGAGTAGTTTCATTGATTCTTATAGTGGGTGTTCTCAAAGAACCACAACGTGGACAGTCAGACACAGGACATACTGTTAGAGCGACGAGCTATTTACAGGATTTGAAAGCCCTTGCAGGGAAGTGAGTAAAATAACATTTGATTTTTAGCTCCGCTGTCGACTTTGTCGAGCGGAGCTTATCATATGAGTGATTGTCCGTCGTCGTCGTCCGTCGTCGTCGTCCGTGTCAATGTTTTACTTTTTCGACTTCTTCTTGAAAACTACAAGCC